AAAAAAAAAAAAAAAAAAAAATTGTTGAATATCGCTACAATCGATATGTTTTTGAAATCTACATGGTTAGAGCATTCTTATTATGCAGATATTATTAAGTATAATAAAATAAAACACAATACATATATTATTATTTTAAAGGTCGCAGTAGAAAATAGAAATGAAAATAACTATAATAGCAATTATATTATTATAGCAATCGATAACAACGAGCGTACACATAGTTCATTCTTAAAATAAATTACCCAATAAACTAATATTTTACCTTATGGACAAAGCTGCTGGTCATCCAAAACCCTTACATCAGACCACATGAACTATACCTATACGCACATGATTGCAGCGCCTCGCTAATAGTATACGTATCTCCATATTGCTCGGACGAGATTGCTGGTCATTCAAACACTGCTCGTGTGTGCATGCATACCCGCATATATTGAAGGAAACCACTTTAATGTTTACACACGAAAAATGTATGATAACTATTTTATTATTTAAAAATTTGCATTTTTAAAAAAAATGTAGAACTAAGAATATACAATTAATTTTCTTCTTTTATTTGATTTTAGTAGGGGGTGTGATTGTCCCATCGTCCAAGCCCGAGCCGCCACTGGTTGATATAATTTGAATATGATAATAAGCTTAAAATTATTTACAAGAAATGCGTTATCTAAAAGTTTGTTTGTGATAATTAAAACTATTTACTTTTCTGCCTTCAGATGATCTTAATTTGCAAGTTATATTATTTAAAATATTTGCAGTTTCAATATTATCAATATAAAATCGAAGATTATTTTCTGAAAAGTGCTCCTAAAATATAACAATTTATAATTAATAAAAAATTTGTTATACCACTCAATAAAATATTTACCTACATTAAATGGAAAAAGCTTGAAAGGTGCTATGTAGGTCTGAATCTTTTTTAAAGTCTCTGCTGAATCATGTATATTAGGGATCTAGAAATAAGATATTAAAATACATTCTCAGCAACTTAAAACTTATAAAACTTACATGAACTGAATACCACCCAGTATGGCTTTGATTAAGTACATGTAAAGGTATGGAACTCTTAGTAACACTAATAGAGTTTCTTATGAAATGAGATCTAATAAAACACAACATTAAATATTACATAATTATAAGTTTTTATAAAATTTGCAATATTGTTGAATTAATATTTAGTTATCAAATACAACGAACTTAGACAATGACTAGAATGTGTAAAAGGTTAATTTACTTTAATTCTGAAAGGAATAAATTTTTGTTAAAAAATGTTTAATTTCAGGACTGCAAGTAGTTGGCACAGTTGTGTTTTTATTTTATTTCATGAATTACTCTACCAATCAAAAATGTCAGTTCAACAATTTTGTATCAAGGCAGTAAATATATTACCTATTTTAATATTTTTTTTAAGTGAAGAGTAAAAAAACAAAAATATGAATTTTTAAGTTTTCAATAGGGTTTATTAATAAAAATTTGAAATTTAATAAAACAAATCAATTCACAATTGAAAATATGAATCTGGGACGCCATTAATTCATTACAAAGTGACACAAGTAAACATAAAAATTAATGTAGTAGACACAGTACAAATAAACTAATTAAACATGAAGTCTTTTACATAGTATTAGTGTAAATTACCGAGTGGCAGGGTACTGCATGGTATAAATATAATAGAACTGGCCATTTCTAAATATTTCAGGGTTGCCAATTCCAAAAATGGCAGTAGAATCGCCCTATAAGCTCTTGTTTTAACTGCTCAAAATCAAATACTAGTATTTCATATGAAAATTATAGACATCAAAAATATGACACAATACTAAAACATCCAGTTATTCATCGTAAATAAATTTTTATTTTAATAATTGTTATTCTTAACCTTATAGCAACCATGAGCAACACTAATTTGTCTTAATCTGAATCTTTTGGTGTAAGTCAATTATTATAGAAAAAATTATTTAAGTAACCAATTTTTTTAAAAAGTGACTTAAGTGATCTACTTTCAGCCTGCGACTTCTTTTTAACTTAATTATTTTTTATGACACTTTTAGATTGGTAATATAAAAATTTTTTGCTAAAATTTTTTTTTTTATTTAATAACTTATGTAATAAATAAGTTAACATAGATACATATTATGAATCAATATATATATTATAATATTATAATAATATATTATAATCAATAAGTTTATACCAAACTTATTTGAAAGTGTTTCTAAAAAATTAGTGTAAAGTACATAAGGTGTATTAAAAAAAGGAAGTAGAGAACCAAACCTTTTAATTTTTTTACAAAACTATTTATTTTAACTTTAAACCTGTAAAATTTAAAAAAAAATATTTTTACTTTTTGAAATTGTGTTCAAAAAATGTTGAAGCTATGAAAAAAAATGGGGTCGAAAGACCATAATATCTCACCAAAAAATATAGTTTGAAACTTTTCTTGATAAATAAAAATGTCTAATTAAGCTATTTTTATATTTTAAAATACCGTACAAAGAAAGGCCACAATGATAGAGTCAATGAATCTCATAAAAGTTAAATGAATCTATTTTATATTGAATATTAAGATAATCTTATTTTGAAATTTTTGATAATGGCCCCCAAAGTTGAGAAAAACAACTTGGGGGCCATAAATATGAAAATTTAATCTAGATTGATTTGCTTTTTTTATCTGCCAGCAAATGCAGTGTAGGATGGGCGGGTTGAGGTTTAAATCCCACCGAGCAAATTGATTTTTGCACTTTATTGTGTATAGGTAAAAAATAGAAAATTTGTATGATTTTTATCTCATGTAGATTGAATTCATATAATTTTAAAAAAAGACGGAGATCCCATCACTATGGTTTCCCTTATGAGAAGGCATTATTTTATTATATATTTTTTGTGTCTATTATTCATTTTTCTAAGCTCTCTCACTGGTCTGAATGATTTTCAACAATACATCAAAAATGATACCTAATTAAAGACATTATCATTAAAAAATGGAAAAATGTTCTTTGTTCCCTATAATAGAAGAAATAACCCAAAAAATTACAATTTTTAAAATTAATAAATTTTGATATTTTTTAAACTTCTTTTTACTTAAAACTAAATATTTTTTTGTAATACCTTAGGTGGTACTTTCCTTTCATTATTATCTTATTAATCTTATCTTAAAACAAAATTGTTCCAACACCATATCTTCTATGTGCAAACAGTCATCGAAGTTAAACAGAAAACGTTATTAGTAAAACACTTCAATTTCATATAATATTTTCTACATAAAATTTTTTTTTGCAATTATTTATGCCTATATTTTAGATCAAACAATATATAAATATAAGATGAGAGTTAACTTTTTCAACATAACTTTTGAAAATGTCTTAGAAATACTGCGTCTTTTAAATAAATGTTAAAATAAAGCTTATTTTAGGTACTAGAAGTTCAAAAAAAATTTGTACCGGCAACCAATTTTCTATGTGCAAATGGTAGTTAAAGTAGTATAAAAAATAAGAGTTAATTTTGCTTTTAGAGTAATCCACTAATTTCTTAAAATTAAACCCTATCTACAGATTTCCATTGAAGCATTTATGATAATGATTTTAATCACTGTCAGATATCATCTATATTTATCCCACTACATCATGTTCATACTGGGCCAACACCCCATTGTGCTAGTATTTTTTTTATTTTTGAAACTGCTTCAGTGATATTGAGAAAAAAAATATAATTTTTTTTATTGAAACTGGTGTTAGTTTCACTTAATGAAAAGTTTTAAATGTGGACTCTTGTAATAAACATTTTTGCTGGTCAAACACTAATGAGACTCTATATATTAATATAAATTATTATTATTAAAATCATGCTGCAATTATTTAAATACTATATTACTTGATAAACAACCTTTGATTTCCATTATGTTCCAGCATTTCATTTTTACGAAGAAATTTTTTATGTTGGTGATTGTAAAGGCCAGTCTTACTATGAATCCAATTTTTTTTAATGTGATAGCCACCTCTATTATTAAAAGGATGTTTAAATACAATATTTTTATTAGTACGTCGATGTTCTGAAAATCCATTATTTCTAAAGGAACTTGTTCTTGGTACCCAATTATCAGATGCATTATCTAGTCAAGATTACAATTTTGTATTCAATAATTTGAAGTAACAATTATGAATGCATAATACAGAGTGATCCCTTAACTATAAGTTATTAATATCTTTTAAAATATAAAATACAATAAAAATATTTTTTTATAAGTTTTATATTTTTTTATACATAATATAATTTCCAAATTATATTAATTATTAATATGCTAACATATTCTCTTACTACATAAATCTATATCAGCTTCAGTTTTTTAAATGGAAAAATATGTTGTTAACTAGCTTACATATTAGTAAATGATAATTTAAAGAAAATTACAGATTGGTCATAATTTTTGAACCAGCACTCTGGAAATGACTAGTGATTAAATAACAATTATCAAAAACAACTTAACTGTGAAAAATGATCAAGTTCCAACCCCATTCCTTCTAAATAAGTCAGTTAATCAAAGTAGTAATATTTACATTGAGGCCAAGTTTGCTCTTTTTTTAGTTTTTAAGCTTCTATCCTACTTACATAAACAACATTGTTCCTTTATTAGTATTGCTTAATACTCAGCTACTTTTTGAATGAGGCATAAAAAATACTTTGTCACAATTTCCAAATAATCTTGTGAAAAGATCTGAACCTCCTTTCTTTCCATTTGAGTTTTCTTATTGCCTTCTCCAAAGTAGCAAGTAACATGACCATGGTTAAACTATATGAATAAATATTAGATATCATTGCTTTGATAGGCATGCCTTTTTAGGAGGGAGAAAGTTGGAACTAGGTCTTTTTTCAAAGTTAGGTTTTTGTTGAAAATATAATATAAATATAATGTATTTTACTGACATAAGTCAGTAAAATAATTAGTTTCATTTGTCACTAAAAAATTAGAATGGCAACTTTCCCCCCTACCGCTTTCAAATGATGCTCCTGCATGTAAGACAGTTTATTTTGAAAAAAAAAAAAATAATTTTCATACTTTTCTCTTTATTTACACTATAAAATGTCTACTTTTATTCACATGTCTACTTATATGGGAAATATCTAATAATTTCGTAAACAATCAATAACAAAATGAAAAATTTGAAACTTTCACGTTTTGAAATGGCAACACATTAATAGATAAATTTGTTACAGTATTTTAAACTATTAAAAGTCTAATCCCCATGCTTTAAATTTCAGAAGACTATTTTAAGAGAAAATAGAGATAAGGGGGTTGAGAAAAGCAGGCAAATTATTTTATGTAAACACTAGCTAGCACATTTAGAACTTGACCTGACACACTATTGTGCAAGGTCACCATGTGCTCATAACATGAACTTCATCCTTATTTATATTTTATAGTATAAAGAACTTCAGAAATAAGTTAATATTGACTAATATATATATATATATATATTCTTACATAAATCATATTCTGATAAATAAGATAGTTAAATATGTATTTTATCATTTAAAAAACTAAAGTTGAGTGTTATAATGTTGAGAGCGTGAGAATTTAAATTAAATATAAAACATTATATAAAAAATTTATATAATTTATGAAGGAATAAAATTTCATTTTGCTACAGTTTTGTTGATATCATCACAGGTAAAGTTCACAAATCGCTCTAAATATTTTAGCTTCGATGCGAAGCTGAGAAGGTATTAATTTTACCATGATGTTTTTTTTTTTTTTTTATGTCTGTTGCCACTTTTTCTCATCTCTCACTGGACTGATTTCTTTCAACAATNTTTTTTTTTTTTATGTCTGTTGCCACTTTTTCTCAGCTCTCACTGGACTGATTTCTTTCAACAATACGTCAAAAGATCACAAATCGTATCTAATTGAAGACATTACCCTTAAAAATTGAAAATTTTTCACTCATTCCCAGCAAATGGGGAAAATATCCAAAAAAATTACAAATTTAAAAATCAGTAAATTTTGTCATTTTTTCCACTTTTTTTTCTTAAAACTTTTTCATAACTTTTTCAAAAATAAACAAATCAACACAATATTTTTTTATATTGAAACCTTAGGTAATTTCCTTTCGTTTAATATCATTTTTTTTGAAAATCTAACACTTAACTTGCTCATTGGGGGAGATTTAAAATAGTAACTTTTTTACAAAAACTAACTTTTTCAACTTAATATTTTAAAATGTTCCGGAAATACTGCGTTCTTTAAACATATATCAAATTAAAGTTTATTTTATGTACTATAAAATGAAAAAAAAAAATTTGTCCCGACGACCTATCTTCTATGCGCAAATGGCTACCGTATTCAAAAATATGCTATTTTTCTATTAAAATTCTAGGTTTTGTATTTTATTTTATTTTAGAATATCTTATTAGTAGAATATATGGTGAAAATAGCTACAGTATTCAAAAATATGCTATTATTGTGTTAAAATTCTTGATTTTGTATTTTATTTTATTATAAGGGGATTACACTGATTTTCATAATTATATCAATCTAAATGACATAATATAAAAAATTAATCATATTTAAATTTTTTTGTTTCTTTGAAGTCGAGAAAAATAACTTTAAAGTTTGAACTAGCTAAATTTCCATTTTTATTAAGTGACGAATGAGACGTACGGTTTTTGAGACGGGAACACTTGAGTCTTTTACGACTGTGGCACTGCATTTTTTTAAAATTCTTTTCGAGTTAAAAAAAAATGTTTAACTCATTTGATTTTTATCTCATTTAGATTCAATAACTTCAATAAATATAAAGGATTCCATTATTGTAGTATCCTCTCGTGAGAAGAAATTCATATTAATATTATTTTACTATGTGGTTTTTTTTTGTAGCTATCATTTATTTTCTCAGCTCTCATTTGACCTACTTTTTAGACAAATTTTTTTTTTTAATTAAACACTATCTACAGATTTGCATCAAAGTGTTTTTTATAATAGTGATTTTAATCACTTTCAGATATCATCAATACTGGACCCAACTATGCCACAACCCCACTGTGCAGCCACTCCACTGTGCTGGGGTTTTTTATTTTATTGTTAATAATTATTATTATCAATCTACAAGGAAAATCTTTTCTTGTGGNATTATTATCAATCTACAAGGAAAATCTTTTCTTGTGGCAAAAATTCAATAATTATGTTATAAAACTAATAGATTATGAAAATCACGAGTTTTATAAAAAAAAAAACATTAAAAATGATTTGACTAGGATTAATTTAAATGATTATTTGAAATCCTTATTTGTATAAAAATTATATAATATAATGATAATTTAATTTTTAGCTATGAATGAATGTGAAATTTTTTTCAGTAATTAACCATATATTAAAACGATTTTTTGTTAAAAAAATTACAAAATCTTTTTCAAAAAAAACTTAAACTTAATTTGAAAACTTAAAAGGCTTATAATAAAAAAATAATTATTGATGAAAATTTAAAAAGCTACTTACGTGTATTACTTGACTTAAATTTAAGGTTTAATTTTCTTCCATTTTTCCATCTATTAGACATTTTTACTTTAATTTTATTGATATTATTTGAAATTAAAAACGTTTGACATAAAGAAAACTATAATTATTTAAAATAACAATTCAAAAGCATATATAGTATTTAAAGCAATTTAATGATGTAAGAAAGAGTTGAGAGCTAATCAAAAATTCATAGTTATTTAATACTAACAACAAAAATAAAGACCAGGGACGTGTATGTGTAATGTAGCAGTTGTGCTATACACAAAAAATAGAAAAAAACGTGACTACTGGTAACTTCATACTCATCACACTGTTAACATCGTCTACAATCACGTTACCAAAATTCCACAAAAACAATTCATATAAAAATAGATTTTTACTTTGATTAGATTATTATAATAAAACCACAAATAAGATAGTTTTATCTAATTTATGATATACTGCACCCAGAGAAATAGTTATTAAAATTAATGGAAAAAGTATATAAAACTAAGGAAAAACGGGTATGATTTGGAGCCTATGTAATCGATTCATTGAAATGACATCTTTTTAATCATTATATTAATGCTAAAAAATATTCATTGAAACAATTATTAATTTCTTTAATTTTATTCTTACAGTCCATAGTTTTAAATACTTGGGAATTAAACTATTGGAAAATTATTAACATTAATTTAATAGAAATACATCCTATGGTATTTATTTTAAAGATATAATTCGTTGTAATAATTAACTCTGATCATAAATTTAACTTTTCTTGAAACATAAATATGATGAGTTGCAAGCATTGATTTTAAGCTATTATTATTAGGTCGGTTTTTAAAACAATTCTATTTCTTCATAAAAATTAAAATTTCTTTGCATTACTTTAATAACTGCTTTACTTAGTAATAAAGTAAAAATCCATCTTCTATCATTTTTTTGTGAATAATAAAAACAAATGATTAGGTTATTTAANAATTAAAAACTCAAACATTTTATTAAATTAAAAATACGTGTTACCATTTAAAAAAACAAAGTTGACACCCTTACCAGGCATAAGGGATGAACTTAAAAAGTATTACATAGTTAATAATTCAAGAATAATGTGTAACTAAAGATAGTAATAAAAAAAAAATTTTTAATTATTATTATTCTGTAAGTAATTGAGTGGGTTATGATAAAAAAATCACCCTGTATATATATTAAAATACAAAATCCATAAATCTTTAAAAATGTTTTAATCTTATAGNATTAAAATACAAAATCCATAAATCTTTAAAAATGTTTTAATCTTATAACTGTTTTTTTATCATTAAGATGATATAAACAAATTGGTGGACCTGAGAAATCATTAATATCTTTTAATACATAGAGATCATCAGTATCAACATTCGAAACAACATAGCTTACAAAATGTTTATTATAAGATAGTACATTTAATGTTATACATAAAAAAAGAACTTTCTCATCAAAACAAATAATTTTTTTCAATTTATATACCAATAAATGATTGTTATTTAAAGATGTTAGTATATGACTGGTTTTATAAACTATATTGTTGTATATTATTTGGTCATAACAATGTGCCAAATTAAGTACAGATAAATCATTGGGAGAAAATAAAATTTTAATCTTTTCAAAATATTCACATAATTTAGTGGTAAGCCTAAGTTTGCCGAGATACAAGAACTATTTTTTAAATTTAAATTATAATCTGAAAAATGAATGGAGTATTTTATAGCCAAAGATATAGGAAGTTGAACTCTTGAAGTTATGTTTTTAGAGTATGCTTTAAGTTGTCTATGTTTAGATTCAAACCGATAACACCATACAAATTTTAAGGAGCCTGATTTTCTTATTATATTACAGTAGTGGATAAGAAAATGATGTTTAGGTTTTAATTTGTCTTGAAATAATTCTACATATTTATTATTGTGATATGTGATATGATTTTGTACATTTAAAATAATTTGATCATTAAAATTTGACAATAACAATAAATCAATCATTTCAATAAAATTTATCAAGAATAACCATATTGGATTGTTACAATTAGAATTTTGATTATTAAGAACTTCAGATTTCATGTGTTTAGAAAATGAACGATAAGTTGAGAAAGTCTGTGAACAATGTGGTATGCCACAACGGTAAAAACTTGATGATGTTAATGAATGAACATACTTCAAATGTGCAATGAATTGATGAAGTTCAATAAAGATATCTTTACAATTAAAACAAATTAGATTCATTATTGTATATAATTTAGTAACTGTAATAAAGTTTAAAATATTAGATTAGAATAAAATTATGAGCAATGTAATAGATAAATTATGAAAACTTATATAGTTAAATCAGAGATTATTGAAGTTAGCGAAGAGCTTTTAATATCACAATCATTGTGATATTAAAAATTGTGATACAAAAATAAATTTTTGTATAAATGTCCAAACTAAACTAGATTGAATGGGGTACTGTAAGTTAAATACTTGAAAAATTTTAAAGCATGTATCTAATGCTCGTATTATGTTTGAAAATTTATAATAGGTGTTGAAAAAATACACATTAATATTATTGATACCATCAAAATTAGTTTCAGCAACACAGATGAATGGTTGTATTTTTTCTTTTTTTTTGTAAGCGATATCAATTTTTAATTGAATTTGAACATGTAGATCATTCATTGAAGCCACTTTTAATAAAAACGAATTTCTAGCATCAGAAATAGATGTTTTTACAATGCGTCTCTTATTTGTAACTGAATCTATTTCATAGGATCTGGAAGTTGGAACTAATAAAGCATTCATTAGATCTAAAACTAAAAGATTTCTGGTTTCTGTAAAAAAAATTAAAATATTATTATTTGATTAATTAAAAATTGTGAGAAATTATCTTACCAATATCAGTTTCGTTTATTTCTATTAAACGTTTAAGTAATAATTTGCTGTTTCCATCCTTTATTTTATTTATCATTAACGGAATGATCTTAATAATAAATTGATCCCAATTAACAAACAATGAATTTCCTTTTGAAGTATATATATATTCAAAATCAATAACAATCTAGAATTAAATTAATAAGTAATTATGTAAATTAGTATCATTGAAATATAAACCTAATTATAACTAAGGCATACACACACATACATCTCTATAAATTTAAAATCATTAAATGCAAAATAAATAAAATTGTAATCCTGAACATGTAAACATAAATATATTTTTCAATTACTATATTAATTGAAATATACATAAAAAACTACTTTTAAAAATACTTAAGAAATTTTAATAATTAAAATACCAAGCTGTGACCAAATGACTGTTTGTACATAGGCCATTCTTCGAGAATATTATTAATGTTAATACTTGGAGACAACAAATATTCTCTACGAATTTCACAAGTCTCTTCCCATTTAATAATTACTTCATTCATAGGCTCAATGTTAAACTGAAGCCATTTTTTTACTTTAATTAAACATTCATTATCTACAAATAAACCCCATTATTTAACTAATTATTAGTAAAAATTACTATTATTAATTATTTACTTATAGTTGCCCTATGTAGTATAGATGTTTGCTCTAAGTTACTATCAGAACTTTTTTTTACTTTTTTTATGGGAGACCACAATTTGTGTTTGCGTAATTTTGTCAATGTATTATGATATTTTTGGTACAATATTCCCTTTGGTTTTTGTGCAGGCACACTAATGAAGTATGTTTCCTATAAGGCAATTATACTGATATATTTAAAATTGTACCAATTTTCATACAAAATTTTTAAAATTTTACAAACCTTAACTTCAGATTTAAACATATTAATGATACTATCAGAAATATTATTAATGATCTTAGGAGAACCATATATTTTATGCTGTATAATATATTCAGTAATTATTTCAGTCAACATTTTTCTTAATTCATCACTAAGCTTTAAATTTTTTTTATAAAATGACATTATCAAATTTCCTTTACCAGATGAATTTAATATTTCTTCTATATTTATCTTAAAATAAAGGAAAACAATATTTTTATAAAATAGGAAATAAATATGTATTTTTAAATTACTGTTAAAATTTAATATAGGTTTTAATTATAAATTACTTGGTTCATAAAAGAAATGGGACAACTATTATTTGAACTTGTAGTAGAGTATTCAGACATTTGTGAATCAGATAAAGGTTCTGATGCATTATCTTTACTAGCACTAGTGGTACTAGATTTTTCCTATAGAAATTATCAATTATGAAAGGTCTGTTAAAAGGCTTAAAATTAATTTAGTTAACTCACACTAACAAAGTTTGCCTGCCACTTTTTTAAATGGTGCTCAAATATTATTCGTTGACCATAACAGGCTTTTGGACAAATGTCTTGTAAGTGTTTTTCATTAATATATTTAAGGCTTTCACATGTTATTCCATGTTCTAAAATGTACATTAAATATAGTAAGGAGTTGAGAATTTAATGCTATATCATCTAATTTATAAAAAGCAGAATTAAAAAAAAAAATTAGAGAAATAATATTTTTCAAATCACTAAATTTAATGTAAAGTATAAAAGTCAATTTCCATTATAATTAACTGATAATTACTAAAACGTCACACGTTTAAAAGATATAAAAATAAATATGTGTACTTACCGATAAATATATTGAATATATATAAATATATTTTAACTCTCCTAGTACATCTAGTAGAGCTGATTCGTGTGAAAATTCTTCGGAAAATTCATTATTTTCAATGACGACAGAATTTAAAATTATTTCTTCCATTTAGTTATAAAAACAATCACTAGACACTATACACTAACCAAAACAATGCCAAGTGTAGAATAATGTTGCGTATAGTCACCGTTATCTAATAGCACAATAATAACAGTTCCAAAAAATTTACCTAAATATGCTAAAAATAAACGTGGATTTTATTATTTAACGATAAATGTCATTAAAATAAAGACGGCAGGGTATTGAATTAATGAAAACTGTCTAGTGGGGTTAGTAAACAAATAATTTCTCTACACTTCCGTTAAATCAAAGTTATAATTACTTTTAGTTTAAGTAAAACATTAATATTTTAATTCAATTTAGTTTTGATTTGAAGTAACATTTTTTACTTAAAAATAAAGATTCTCTATGATAGAAGCGTAGAACTTTTTGGTTATATCAATTACCCTATCCTTTAAAAGAAACATATTTTTATTACATTCAAGTAAATTGTGTTCATGAAACAAATAATGGACTCCTTTGTTTAAAATATTTATATTTTATTGATTTGATTACGGTATCTTTAAAATGTCATTAAAAAAATCTTTAAATTTATTGAATGTGGTTTTATTTTAAAAGAAAAATTGTTATTTTAATTCATTTCAGCGTTATTACTAAGTAACACGCTAGGCTTAAAAACAATGATTCAATTTCATTAAAGCATGGAACGTTCTTTTTCTGAGTGTGAGATTATGAGTGAAATAATTATTGACTATGTTGGTCCTCTTCCAAAGTCGAGATCTTATAAGTATATTTTAGTAGCTACTGATCGTTTATCAAAATTTTGCGTAGCTCAACCATTTACAAATGCCAATGCGCGTAGTACCAACAAGTTTCTTTTAGACTTATTCTTAAGATTTGGTCCAGCTAGGATAATTAGCTCAGATAATGGAACTCATTTTACGTCAAAGACATTTTAAGACCTAATGGACGCTTTTGGGGTAGACAAAAAATTCGGAATTCCGTACAAGCCTACTTCACAAGGTCAGGTGGAGAGGCAAAATCAAACAGTTATAGACATGATATCACATTACGTTCAGGATAACAATAAGTGGGTAGATTATTTACCATACGTTGTATACGCCTATAATACTTCAATACATTCGGTTACAAATTATACGCCATTTTATTTAGTTCACGGCTATAATCCTAAAAGCATGTTTGATATTGCACTAATTCCCCCTTCCGATGGGAACGTTATCGATGAAATTAATAAAATCAAACATATTAGAAAAACATTACCCCAATTATTAAAGAAACAATCCAAACAGACTAAACAAAAACTATTATCATCGAATAATTTTCAATCGTTTAAAGCGGGAGACAAAGTCTTAGTTAAAGTCCCGGTAAAGGGTAATAAATTTTCAGATAGGTATGAAGGCCCTTATGTTATTTTAAAGAAAATAGGTCCATATAGTTTTTTGATAAATCTGCCAAAAAACAATATTTTGGTCGAGTCGCCTGTTCACATAGACCAGTTAAAACCTTTCGTTCCTAGAATATAAAATCCATTCAAATCTCGGCCCGAGGCTAGCACTAAAATAGTAAAATATGTATAGTAATGAGATGACAATATAATTACAATTTAACAATTTTCCGAAAATATAAGAATTATAAGGTGTATAATAATCATTGTCCATATTATTACTTTTTTTTATTTTTGCTGACATAAATTATAGGCAAGGTCAGCGTAATAACGCATCCGAAAAATTGATCTTATTGCGACAACGATACTCTTCGCTTCTTAAGACCCAACGAATATCATTATATTGTGCTGTTTCAACTCTTAAAAATTCTTAAAAATTTGATTATAATTTATTTTTGTTCTAATATGTTCGAATTTATTTAATCCAAGATGGTTTAAGGGTAAAATGCTATATTAAATTACACTATTTATATTAAATACGCTTACCTACCACTTAATAATAATTATGACTCTAGAAAATTTTTTTTTTGTTATTGCTATTGACAATAATACTTTACCCTAGTGGCGACTGTAGAGAATATTCAATAAATCTGATTAATTCCCTAGATTACATTAAAAAAATTTAGCNATCTGATTAATTACCTAGGTTACATTTAAAAAATCTAGACACTCTTCAATTTTAAAATTACCCCCTGTCGGATACAAGGATTAGTATGAACAATCGTGTTACTCTTATATACTAATTACTTATATAGAATCTTATATCCTAAAAATTGCTTAAACTACTTAAATTAAAATCTTTTAATTATTCATTCAAATGAAGTCATTCTTCGAGGTTCATTCGACGGGTCATCTTAATCAATAATTCTATCGAAGACTTCATCGCTGTCACAGGACCTCTCTACTTTGAATATCGATCTACATCTCGATCATTCTCCCTGTAAAATATAGTTTTATAAATATCAATATATTTTGAATAAAATTCGATTATTGTAGACTTACTCCTGTATAACTATTTAGTTCAATATTTTAAAACCTAATTTCCCTTGTTTATCCTTGAGTCAGATAATCAAGTAATCGAATAACTAGGTCAATTATTAACCTCTATAGTGTATACGTTGCATTCACCTAATTGCCATTTTGCCATCTCGCCATTTTCATAGCCATTCATAGTCAGTCATCACTAACGCCACCGCCACGCCACAGCCGCGGTCAATGTCACGACCATTACCATGACTTTTGTCATTTTACTTTGAGCCACAGTCCCTTTTAATAGAACATCCAAACCACGACTTCAACATCTTCGTATAATTTCGTATGTAGCGACTTGATCACCGAGACATCAAATTATCACGATTCGTGCATATTTATGTTCTATCCGCCCTTTGTTGTCGACCATTGGTGAGTAACTTCTAGCTAGAAAAAATAAGTCCTTATTACTATTGCTATTGAAATATATAGTATTGTTATATTATTATTATATTATTATTTTGGGGCTCCAGCCACATTACTGCAAAGTCCGATTTATTTATTATATTGTGGCATATATTTATTTATATTCGGCAGGTCCGATTGATTTATTTTATTGTGGCATATATCTATTTATATTCGGCAAGTCCGATTTACTATATTGTGGCATATTTTTACTTAAATTCGGCAAAGTCCGACTTAGTTCATTGGAACATTATTATATATTATTTTATTCGGTATAACCGATTTTGTGGAATATTTATATTACTATTATTTTCGGTAAATCCGATAATTTGATTTTGGTATATATTTTATTATTATTCTCGGCAAGTCCGTTAATTAATTTAATTTGTGGCATATATATATATATTTTATTATTATTATTCCGTTCGACTAGAAATATTTTTATGATGGCATAATTTTATTCTAACTAACAAACAATGTTATAATATAACTTTTATTATTTCGATTGGCTTAGCCCGACTTCCCTTTATTTATTATATATTATGAAATTACTTTTATTCGATAGTATAAGGTGATATAAAATGCACGATACACGAGGTTTAAGAAAATTTACTTCTAAATAATCTATTTTGAAAAATAAATAGTGCCGAATTTTATAAAATTGGGTTTGAAAGAATATTTGAGGCAAATAAAACCCTAGGTTATTATTATTAAATTAAAAAATTATTTTATTGTGGTACTTACCAAACATGATTTCCAATATAACATTCCAGGCATCTTCAGTCCAAATAGGTCAAACATAAAATGAACAACACTATACAGTCAACGGTCACCACATCCCCACATAATCCCCTATAATCTTAGCTATAATATTACGTGACAATAATAACGGACTCTATTCATATGTTTACAACAATAAATCCTTTTGTTAACATATTATGATCTTATTGAATAGCCATTACTTATATAATTACAATTGATACTAATAGAGTGAGCCAGTTAATATTTTTAAATAAATTATTTCTTTATAAAATCAATTCGATATGCACGTTTAATATACAGGGTGTTCAGTAAGTCAGGAAACGGGTTTCTATTGTTTTCATTGTTACAAACAATGAGAACAATAGAAACCCGTTTCCTGACTTACTGAACACCCTGTATACAAGTTAACTAAGTTGTTACAGCAGCAAAATCGTCTTTTAAACAGCCGTTATTACGGCTACCCTTATTATAGTATAATTTATATAAAATAATCTTCCCGCAACTAAGGCGCAAGTCAGCCTAATTCAAAATACCCTATTGTGTATATTTCTTTTTTTCTATATAATAAATGGACACTGAATTTTATGAGATGGTCACTGTGTGTGTTTCACATACAGGGTGTTCAGTAAGTCAGGAAAAGGGTATCTATTGTTCTCATTGTTACAAACAATGAGAACAATAGAAACCCGTTTCCTGACTTACTGAACACTCTGNATGGTCACTGTGTATGTTTCGCATATATTTTACTGTATACATTAGTACTATTATCGAGCATGCTTAACTTAATTTAAGACACCTATTGTAAATGTATGCAAGTTTTTGACAACGTTTTGGCTACATACATTAGGTTAACTTAGCTTATTATTTTTATTGTAATAAATCACATTAAATTATTTTTTTTTAATTCATGAACATTTATCATTTATTGTGCATGCATTGCTTATAATTGTATTCGGTACCCCAACATCCCCTTTTAATTATTAATTTTTTTTAATAATAAGCGTTAGTGTTCTGAACAGACCTCGAGAACACGGAGAATACTCTTTGGGGCCCCGAGACTATTCAAGAAGTCGACGACAGGGCCGGGCTTTTCATAGGAACCGCTTGGTAGCCGACTATTGAGAGCCCACACGAAGGAAGCTCCTCTAACGCTCAAAAGCTTGTGAATTAAGGAGTGTGGACATCGAAGACCCAGAGGTTCTTACTACGACACTAATGTCCCTCCAAATTTTTTTATTTTAAATATTTTTTCTTTTCCTACGTAGCATTATTTTGCCAAAGTTATTTTGTTTTTTTTTTATTAAGGTCTAGGGTCAGACCTTAAGTGTAGGGGGAGCAGCTGATACGATCACATTTGCATGTGCCCATATCTCTGTCTCCCATAACATCGTTGTACCGTTTAATAGACATATATATATATATATATATA